AGAATGTGATCAAAATCTATATATTCTAAGCCTATAAGGGACTGGTCATAAAGTAAGGGGGAAGGAAGTGGTAAAACTGGAATAGAAGGAGCTCCCTCTTTTTGCTGGCCCAGTAGAAAATTGCCAAATGAGAAAAATAACCCCCCAAATTCCCTGCAGGAATAAAAAATGACCCGTCCGTAATGTATCTTACCCCTGGGTTCCCGAGGGTGACACCTTTATAGTCCAAACGTATCTTTTAAGAAGTTAAAAAGGATAAAGATAAAAAGGCTTTGTACTTTGAATATACTCACTAGTTCAATAAAAATGATCGTGAATGTTAATATCAATTGCGTAATGCTAATTTTTATGAGGACACGTGACATGTGCCGTCAAAACAGGAAGAAAAGTACCTAAATTTATGGGGTCGCGATTTAAAACTACAAGGAATCGAAAAACTAAATACAAATAATACAAATGATAAAACTAAATACGTAGTGCACAATTTTGTTTCACGTATTTCAAACTCGCGACCGCATTTTCAAAAGAAACACGAAATCCCTTATGCATCGTAGTTAATCACGTGATCACTCTTTAGTCAAAATTATGATTTAAGGTTCACACCAACAATCCGAGATCTATCAATTTACCAATTTTTATCAAAATCCGATAAGTTTTGTGGTAACGAGAAATAAAAAAGTTGCATTTCGTGAAATACAGGCTAATACGAGGCCTTAATACCCCTACCCCCCTCCCCCGCCCCATTATTTTATGACCAGTCCCTAAGAACAGCATTTTCGCAGTACTACTAGAAGGTACACCGAATGCTTCAAAATAAATTACTCAACTTTTAGCAGTTAGCATTRATTCTGTTTACTGCATCTTGGGCTCTACCCTTGTACACCTTATGTGCATAGGTCTTACTTGCTCTTGCATTCATCATTCTTGTTTATGCAACTGCGTAATGGTCCAGCTCGAATTTCCATGGGTTATCATGCAAAAAGGTAATTCCATCTTGTATTGTTGATGATATAAAAACCTTTTGTAATAAAAAAAACCCCACATTACAACAATTGAAAAACCAAGAAAACAATAACACTATTCAATAAAATATGAATATTAAACAACAATACATCYTTGTGATTCATTGAATCCAAAAATGAATTTTTTTAGCTAAAAWTTTTTTTAGCTAAAAATATTGGAAATGTAAATATGGGTTGGTCATCATTTTTTATGCATTCTACAGAGGGTGGGCCGCTAGTAATAATGTGTAGCCTGAAGGGTGGGTCACTTTTTTTCATTTATGATGATTTCACGAATTTCCGGCCCACCCTCCCCTCCCCCTC